CTGAAGCTCTTAACACCCACCGCCTCCCCAGCACCTCCTCCGGCTACTGCTCTGGCTCCCGCTCTGGCTACTGCTCTGGCTACTGCTCTGGCTGCAGCTCCGCCTACGCCACCACCAATTTTATAAATTTTTAAAATTAATTAATTTTATTAAATTCTGTAATTGTAAATTATTGTACAAATGTTTGCACAGTCAAGCCCCTGCTGTCCTGAGTGCTCTCCTAGTTCCTCTGAGAACCGTCACACGGGGCTCCTCTAACGGGAATGTGAAAGTGCCCCTCAGGAGAACCACATTCTTAAAGTCGGTCTTCTCGGTCCAGGGGGCAAAGCTCTGGAACTCTTTAAGCCCTCAGCTAAAACTGAACTCTGACTGGGCTGGTTTTAAACATGAACTAAAGCGATTTTTTAAAACAAACCAGGTGTGTGAGCATCAATGAGTTGGAGAACATCTGCTTTTGTATAATGTGAATTTTATAATGTATAATGTGTTTTAATTGTGTTAAAAGCCCTCCTAGGGACGGACATTGCAAACTAGCCTTGGCTATAAATGTTGTAGTGTTTCACATGTTGATTGTGTACACTTGTCCCTATCAAATAAATCAATAAATAAATTAAAAAAAAAACCCACCAGTGCTTGACCCCGGGGGCTCTGAGATCATCTTCAGCTGCAATCGATCTCATCGCTGCAAGTGTCACTGCCGGGGTCAATGCGCCAAATAAATGAATAATTGTAATGTATTAATTGTGTCTTTGGTCTCTTCAGATTGAAATGCTCCACTCAGATGTGAGATTGAGTTGGCCGTCAGCAGATGTTTGTGCAATGATTCCAATCCATCCACATTCACAGATGCAGAAAAGAACAATTATGTTGACATATAATGGAGAAGGGGAAGAAAATGGATGGATGGCTTCTTGATTTGTGCATGTTTTCAGTTTTAAACTTAAATCCAACCTTAATATGTCCAAATAAACCAGGATGAGTTATTTGTCTAAGTAGATTGAATTCCCCTTTTTAAGCATATATCCTTTGTAAATTATTCCACGCTGCTGGATGAGAACCACAGACCTATGTGCTGTAAACTGTGATGCTAAACCACAGAGCGTAATGACAGGATAGCGTTTGAATCGGTGACATTCATAACAACTGCACATGGCCACACAAAAGCTATTGTGCAAGAAGCTGAGAATGGCTTCAGATCTCCCGGAGAAAACCAGTGGGAAAGGTTTTTGGAGTTTATTCGGTCGGCCAAACCTTGAGTCAACTGTTGGTGCATTGAACCATGCAGCGACCACAGAGCAGTTAGTCACGGTAAATGGGAATCAATAGAAACGGGCGAATTTGAAAACAAGACCTTGGTAACCACCGGAATCAAAAGGTAAACTGTGCTTGGACGGACTGAGAAATCTCCAAATGCATCTGGAAAAGTGTTTCTAAGACATTCTTTTGGTGGTGGGGTAAAGGCGATTTCAGAAAACTCACATGTATTTCATGTATCAAAGTTTTGTGTTTTTTTTACCATTCATCCATCCATCTTCTTCCCCATATCATGAAAATTAAGTATTTTTAAAAAGTAATTTATTTCATGCTTGACAAGAATGTATGTACATATGTATATTTCTATCATCTATAAAACATAATTACTGTAAATTCTATAATTGATTCTTGATTATAAGCTTGAAATTAATCCATTCAATTCAATCAAATACTGTAGTCCCTCCTCAATCAATACCACAGCCATTAAGATTTGATGAGGAGAATAGTTAGACCAGTGTCTCCCAAAGTGGGGTCCGCGGCCTCCTGGTGGGTCGCAAGGGTATTGCATGGGGCCCGCGAGAGGTCATCAAAAAAAAGAATACTGTTTTATATAATTATTGTATGTTAAATTATTGTTTGTAGCAGAGGCTATTTCCCCAAAATAAAATAACGAGAAGAGCCTATTTTTAACGTTGTCTTCTTGGTTATTACTTAAGGGGCCGCAAAGACCCGTTTGATTTTTACGGGGGCCGCGGTGTTACTGACTTTGGGAAGGGCTGAGTTAAACAAATGGCAAAGATTTGAAGTAATTTCAGATTCAGAAAGTTGTGAGGGTGAGCAAGGGCAGGTCCAACTTAAAATCTACTTGAAACAATGTCAAAAGTAACTAACATAGACTTTAAAAACAAGATGCCAGCCCAGTGTGTAAGAAAGAGGCAACTTGGACTTCTTGGCTGAGAAAACATGTTTGCTCCGTGAGAATGTCTGTTTGCAAATAAACATGTACATAAAGTATACCACGACATAACTGTTAATATCAAATGCAAAGAGTTTCCGTCTCTTCGAAGAGTGGAAACTTTAGAAAAAGCTGTTTATTGGATTCTGGTCTGTTCTGGGGGAGGAACATCAGGTGGGCCCTCTCAAGCACTACAATTAAAACAGCAAGGGGAATTTGAATAGCATAAGCATATCATTACCACCCAGGAAACGGGAACAATGGGCTCTTGAGGGTGGCATCCAAACAGGGAAATCCACCCAATGTAGGAGGCAGGCACAGCAGGCGACACCAAGCCCACAATTAGTATTATTAATAAAGTTCCCCATTTAAACGATGGTAGCAGCAATCCTGGTCTAAAAAAAACACTTCCCATATGGTTTCTATATGTTTTTTTGTTTTTTTTAGAGTTGTATTGGGAGGACTGGGACTATAACATTACGCTTTATGGGAGGGTGTCAAATTTAAAAACACAAGAGCTGGTTGGGGCCATAAAAATGTTGTTTTACCTTTTTTGTCTTAAAAAAAACTGTATTTACCTTAGGATTCCCTTCAAAAAGAGGTTCTTAATCTCAATGGGACTTTCCTGGTTAAATGAAGGTTAAATAGTAAATAAAAATCATGGGTTTGGATATTATTTTGGATTCAATCGCAACTGGGCCAAATGCCAAGAAGAGATGTATTTGAAGACTGATAGCTAAAATTGGCCTAAATACAATTTAGTTCACATGATAAGGAACAGATTCAATTTTACAGTTGTTTTTACGACAAGTATAACATGCAAATGCAGCTCATTACCATCAATTCTGCAAGTAACTGTGATAAAGATAATTGAAGATCAGTTCAAGGGCCACTAAAAATGGTCTCGCGGCCGGATTTGGCCCACAAGCCTGAGTTTGACGTGCCTGCTGTAAGGAAATACAGTCATATAAAAGTCATTAAAGTATTCTTGACTTTGTGGCAAAGTGGAAGTATCATTTGTGGTAATAACATTTTCCCCCACAATACCAGAAGATATTTATGACGGAGCCATGTAAGCGATATGCATCTAAAGCCAGTAATACTGCTTTATTAAGGCAGACACATTTGTTGTTCTTTCTACAGCTTTCAACTTCCAAGCCAAACAAGCCAGAGACACGCAAGCCCATTTGGCAAGCCATACTTCACCCCAAAGTCCAAAGAAAACAATAGCCCTTCAACGCCGCCTGCGAACCCAATGGGACTTTCTTGCCTTGAATCAGTGTTTCGAGAAATCCATTTGAGACTAGATTAGGAGAGACTGTGGAATGCTTATTTGCGGCTCTTTCCAAGTATTGTAAATTATCAGTTTAGGAGAAAGCACAGTGAAAGTCGTCCAAGCTCACACGAGGAGAGGAGTCCTGGGAAAGTGGTCACAGAAAGTGATGTTTAGCCATCAATCCAGCACCACGGCGACTGAGTCAAGGGAAAGGTGGTTTGGATGATACACAGGCTGAAATAACTGCCTCTTGAGTGGTTCGCGGCACGGTTGCTATGCATTCATCGCCGTTTGAGTACATGCCATTTGCGGGAACATTTTCGAGGTGAAACTATTACGACCAGTGTTGGTGCAAAATGTTGTTGACAGGAAAGAGAAAAGAAAAATGTCATAAGGGACAGTGGGTCCAACAACTTTTTGGCACCTAACCCTCAGACTGACTCAGAATTCTCTGCAAGAAAGTTCTGAGTTTGATTTCAACTCCAGACGGCCTTTCTGTGTGGAGTTTGCATGTTCTTCTCATGTCTCGAGGTGTCTCTGGTTTCGCTTACCACTGAAAACATGTGCCTGCACCTCCTGTCTGGCAAACCTGCTCACGTTACTGGAACGAGAGGAAAAAATCCCTCAACAATCGGACCTTTCGAAGATCTGTGAAAGGTGCTATATGAAAAAATACTTCATCTCAATAGGAAGAGTCACATGCAAGTTTCACTCAAATTGGTCAGGGCCAGCCATGAAATGGTTATTTTTCCAAGCTAATAACAAAGCAATAACATTTTATGTCATCAAAACAAAAATCAGTTCATTATAATAGTAATGCATTGTCTAAAATCAGGAAAATAAATCCAAATCAATCATTTGCAAACCTCCTTAAATTCAATCATCTTGTGGGTGATGGGGGTGAGGAGGTGAGTGCGGGTGATGGGAGTGAGGAGGTGAGTGCGGGTGATGGGAGTGAGGAGGTTAGTGCGGGTGATGGGAGTGAGGAGGTGAGTGCGGGTGATGGGAGTGAGGAGGTGAGTGCGGGTGATGGGGGTGAGGAGGTGAGTGCGGGTGATGGGAGTGAGGAGGTTAGTGCGGGTGATGGGAGTGAGGAGGTTAGTGCGGGTGATGGGAGTGAGGAGGTTAGTGCGGGTGATGGGAGTGAGGAGGTGAGTGTGGGTGATGGGAGTGAGGAGTGAGTGGGGTGATGGGAGTGAGGAGGTTAGTGCGGGTGATGGGGGTGAGGAGGTGAGTGAAGGGTGATGGGGGTGAGGAGGTGAGTGCGGATGATGGGGGTGAGGAGGTGAGTGCGGGTGATGGGAGTGAGGAGGTTAGTGTGGGTGATGGGAGTGAGGAGGTGAGTGTGGGGTGATGGGAGTGAGGAGGTGAGTGCGGGTGATGGGGGTGAGGAGGTTAGTGCGGGTGATGGGGGTGAGGAGGTTAGTGCGGGTGATGGGAGTGAGGAGGTGAGTGTGGGTGATGGGAGTGAGGAGGTTAGTGCGGGTGATGGGGGTGAGGAGGTGAGTGTGGGTGATGAGTGAGGAGGTGAGTGTGGGTGATGGGAGTGAGGAGGTGAGTGCGGGTGATGGGGGTGAGGAGGTTAGTGCGGGGGATGGGAGTGAGGAGGTGAGTGTGGGGGATGGGGGTGAGGAGGTGAGTGTGGGTGATGGGAGTGAGGAGGTTAGTGTGGGTGATGGGAGTGAGGAGGTTAGTGTGGGTGATGGGAGTGAGGAGGTGAGTGCGGGTAATGGGGGTGAGGAGGTGAGTGCGGGTGATGGGGGTGAGGAGGTGAGTGAAGGGTGATGGGGGTGAGGAGGTGAGTGCGGGGTGATGGGGGTGAGGAGGTGAGTGCGGGTAATGGGGGTGAGGAGGTGAGTGCGGGTGATGGGGGTGAGGAGGTGAGTGCGGGTGATGGGAGTGAGGAGGTTAGTGTGGGTGATGGGAGTGAGGAGGTGAGTGTGGGTGATGGGAGTGAGGAGGTTAGTGCGGGTGATGGGAGTGAGGAGGTGAGTGCGGGTAATGGGGGTGAGGAGGTGAGTGCGGGTGATGGGGGTGAGGAGGTGAGTGCGGGTGAATGGGGGTGAGGAGGTGAGTGGGGTGATGGGGGTGAGGAGGTTAGTGCGGGTGATGGGGTGAGGAGGTGAGTGGAGGAGGTGAGTGGGGTGATGGGGGTGAGGAGGTTAGTGTGGGTGATGGGAGTGAGGAGGTTAGTGTGGGTGATGGGAGTGAGGAGGTTAGTGTGGGTGATGGGAGTGAGGAGGTGAGTGTGGGTGATGGGAGTGAGGAGGTTAGTGGGGTGATGGGAGTGAGGAGGTTAGTGTGGGTGATGGGAGTGAGGAGGTTAGTGTGGGTGATGGGAGTGAGGAGGTGAGTGTGGGTGATGGAGTGAGGAGGTGAGTGGGGTGATGGGGGTGAGGAGGTTAGTGCGGGTGATGGGGTGAGGAGGTGAGTGCGGGTGATGGGGTGAGGAGGGTGAGTGTGGGTGATGGGAGTGAGGAGGTGAGTGCGGGGATGGGGGGTGAGGAGGTGAGTGTGGGTGATGGGGTGAGGAGGGTGTGTGCGGGTGATGGGAGTGAGGAGGTGAGTGCGGGTGATGGGAGTGAGGAGGTGAGTGCGGGTGATGGGAGTGAGGAGGTGAGTGCGGGTGATGGGAGTGAGGAGGTTAGTGCGGGTGATGGGAGTGAGGAGGTGAGTGCGGGTGATGGGAGTGAGGAGGTTAGTGCGGGTGATGGGAGTGAGGAGGTTAGTGCGGGTGATGGGAGTGAGGAGGTGAGTGCGGGTGATGGGAGTGAGGAGGTTAGTGCGGGTGATGGGAGTGAGGAGGTGAGTGTGGGTGATGGGAGTGAGGAGGTGAGTGCGGGTGATGGGGGAGGGTGTGAGGAGGTGAGTGGGTGATGGGAGTGAGGAGGTGAGTGCGGGTGATGGGAGTGAGGAGGTTAGTGCGGGTGATGGGAGTGAGGAGGTGAGTGCGGGTGATGGGAGTGAGGAGGTGAGTGGGGTGATGGGGGTGAGGAGGTGAGTGCGGGTGATGGGAGTGAGGAGGTTAGTGGCGGGTGATGGGAGTGAGGAGGTTAGTGCGGGTGATGGGAGTGAGGAGGTGAGTGTGGGTGATGGGGGTGAGGAGGTTAGTGCGGGTGATGGGAGTGAGGAGGTGAGTGCGGGTGATGGGAGTGAGGAGGTGAGTGCGGGTGATGGGGGTGAGGAGGTTAGTGCGGGTGATGGGAGTGAGGAGGTTAGTGGTGATGGGGGTGAGGAGGTGAGTGGGGTGATGGGGGTGAGGAGGTAGGAGGTTGGCGGTGATGGGGGTGAGGAGGTGAGTGGGGGTGATGGGGGTGAGGAGGTTAGTGCGGGTGATGGGGGTGAGGAGGTGAGTGCGGGTGATGGGGGTGAGGAGGTTAGTGGGAGGGTGATGGGAGTGAGGAGGTGAGTGGGGTGATGGGAGTGAGGAGGTTAGTGTGGGTGATGGGAGTGAGGAGGTGAGTGTGGGTGATGGGAGTGAGGAGGTGAGTGTGGGTGATGGGAGTGAGGAGGTTAGTGTGGGTGATGGGAGTGAGGAGGTGAGTGGGGTGATGGGAGTGAGGAGGTGAGTGTGGGTGATGGGAGTGAGGAGGTTAGTGCGGGTGATGGGGGTGAGGAGGTGAGTGCGGGTGATGGGAGTGAGGAGGTTAGTGCGGGTGATGGGAGTGAGGAGGTGAGTGTGGGTGATGGGAGTGAGGAGGTGAGTGCGGGTGATGGGGGTGAGGAGGTGAGTGTGGGTGATGGGGGTGAGGAGGTGAGTGCGGGGTGATGGGAGTGAGGAGGTGGGGGTGATGGGGTGAGGAGGTGGTGGGGGGTGAGGAGGTGAGTGGGGTGATGGGAGTGAGGAGGTAGTGTGGGTGATGGGAGTGAGGAGGTGAGTGCGGGTGATGGGAGTGAGGAGGTGAGTGGGGTGATGGGAGTGAGGAGTAGTGGGGTGATGGGAGTGAGGAGGTGGGGTGATGGGAGTGAGGAGGTGAGTGCGGGTGATGGGAGTGAGGAGGTGAGTGCGGGTGATGGGAGTGAGGAGGTGAGTGTGGGTGATGGGGTGAGGAGGTGAGTGGGGTGATGGGAGTGAGGAGGTGAGTGGGGTGATGGGAGTGAGGAGGTGAGTGCGGGTGATGGGGGGTGGGGTATGGGTGTGAGGAGGTGAGTGTGGGTGATGGGAGTGAGGAGGAGGTAGTGTGTGGGTGATGAGAGTGAGGAGGTGAGTGTGGGTGATGGGGGTGAGGAGGTGAGTGTGGATGATGGGAGTGAGGAGGTTAGTGCGGGTGATGGGAGTGAGGAGGTTAGTGCGGGTGATGGGGGTGAGGAGGTGAGTGTGGGTGATGGGAGTGAGGAGGTGAGTGATGGGGGTGAGGAGGTGAGGGTGATGGGGGTGAGGAGGTGAGTGAAGGGTGATGGGGGTGAGGAGGTGAGTGAATGCGGATGATGGGAGTGAGGAGGTTAGTGCGGGTGATGGGAGTGAGGAGGTTAGTGCGGGTGATGGGGGTGAGGAGGTGAGTGAAGGGTGATGGGAGTGAGGAGGTGAGTGCGGATGATGGGGGTGAGGAGGTTAGTGCGGGTGATGGGGGTGAGGAGGTTAGTGTGGGTGATGAGAGTGAGGAGGTGAGTGAAGGGTGATGGGGTGAGGAGGTGAGTGCGGATGATGGGAGTGAGGAGGTTAGTGCGGGTGATGAGAGTGAGGAGGTTAGTGCGGATGATGGGAGTGAGGAGGTGAGTGCGGATGATGGGAGTGAGGAGGTTAGTGCGGATGATGGGAGTGAGGAGGTTGGAGTCGGCTGAGCGAAGGCGGCGGGTGGGTTGGTGCTGCTGTAGGAGCTCAGTAAGGTAGGGGGCGGGGCCAGGTTATGGAGGGACTTGTAGGTGACGAGGAGGAGCTTGTACTGGATGCAGTATTGAACGGGGAGCCAGTGGAGCTGCTGGAGGACAGGGGTGATGTGTTCTCTGGACCGGGTGTGGGTGAGGAGGCGGGCTGCAGAGTTCTGGATGTATTGCAGTTTTTGGAGATGAGGTGGGAAGTCCGCAGAGGAGGCTATTGCCACTGTTTCATTGATTGCCACTTTTTTATTGTACATAATATATCCTGAAAAGACTATATTTTTTTTGCCTTTAGCATGTTTGCACACTTCTGTCTTTTGCACAAATCTGAGTGATTCTGTCCATGCCAAATGTGACATGTACATTTCTCCTGTGTGAGATCAATAAACTCTGTCTTATCTATCTTATCTTAAAGTGCGTTTTTACGAACCAAGGTCGCCCAAAGCGCTTTACACTGTTCAGAGTTCAGATATTTTTTTCATGCTCTTCACACACGGTGATGACTGAAGCGAGACGTCAAACACATCAAAACCCCCGACCAACACCATCCATTCATTCATGACAGTCATACCTATTGTACATGGGAAACCGGAGCACCCGGAGGAAACCTACGCAGACATGGGGAGAGCATGCAAACTCCACTCAGAAAGAAAAAAAATAAGGTCATATTTTATTTTTTATCTCTCTATGAGCACATTTTGCCTGTCTATAAAAGAGATATTCCAATGGGACAAGCTAAAATGTCTTGTTTTAAAAGGATACAAGAAAATTCAAAAATGTCTTCCTTGGAGTGAGAAAAGTCAGAATACTCAAATAAAAACCCTTGATTCAAGCATTCAATACCTTATATTTTGTATTTTTTTTTGACCGGGATTCAGACCCTGGGCCTTCTTACCGAGAAGCAAGAACGCTATCCACTCTGCTCCTGATGCCCAGGATTGTCAGAAGTAGTCTCACATGTCATTACATCGCTGCAACACAACAAATCTCGCTTATTACAGCATGTTTCCCCAAAGCGGTATGTATTTGTTGTCATTTGTCTAAAGTTTTGGCCAGGGCAGGAGGCAGGAGGCAGGAGGCCGGGTGCGTGGTGTGTGTGGTGGTGGGTGGCTCTGGTGCTGAAGCAGAAGAGCAGACGACAGAGCAGCACAGACCATGCCTGTTTGACAAAGATAAATACAGCTTATTCTGAGTAACCGGAGGGCGCGTGGCAAAAATAATAGGGCCATTTGTGGCAGGGAACGCAGCCAGATCTTACTTTGTTGTTGTTGTGAGAATGCAAAGCCGACTTCAACATGCCAATATTCTGTTTTGGACTTTTTCCTTTTTGGCTCCCACACAATGTAACTTTTCCCATTCCTACAGTTATTTGATGGAGGAGGAGGAGTAATAGTGGTAGTAGTAATAGCACATGCACCAGCAGTAGTAGCAATAGTAGTAGTGGTAGTCGCAGTTGTAGAAGCAGTAGTTGCAGCTGAAGCAGTAGTTGCAGCTGAAGCAGTAGTAGCAGTAGTAGTAGAGACAAGACAAGACGCCGCAACCGATAATATGTGGAGAAAAAAAGCAGTCAAATATGCAGAACATTTAATCGGATCCTTTTACCCTGAAAATATGTTCATTTGAGGTGTGCTTCCTTGAGTCCTTGAGACCGGGCCTCCTGCTGCAGAGAAAAAGGACAAGAACGAGAATAGAGAGGAAATGTCCAAATGACTTACAACATGATTTAGCTCCCATGTTCATTTGGGCAGAACATTCTGACTGAAAACAGTGACTTTGAACACAGTAGACACCACTGCACTAAGTGTCACATGTGTATGAATTGATAAGCTGTAAATGGTGACAAATATGATGAAATAAAAATAGTACGTATTTTTATTTTGTCCTAATGATAAAATAAATTATGCATTTATTAATAAAATGTATATGCATATTGGAATGTAAAAAAGGAAAGATTTACTATGTAATTTAGGTGAATTTATCATGTTTTATTTACTCATTTTTGAGAGGATAAACCCCTTGAGATGCATCATCTCGTTTACAAGAGGGTCCTCAAAAGAATTACAAGAAGCAAAAACACAAGACAGAAAACAGCAGTACCAAAAAATAATAAGTAAAATAAAAAAAATAAAAAGACAGGATGAAATAAAAAAACAAAAAACAAACAAGCGACAACAGATACACAGACACAGACACTCACACAGCTCTAGAGTAAACAAAAACAGTTCAGAGTAGGACATTGTAGAACACGCATTTCAAAAACAATTACAAGGCGTCTGCAGATAAGACCGAAGGGCATTTTTAAACATATTATAGGAGGTTATAGATCGGATAGAGGCAGGGAGATTATTCCAGTCAAGAGGTGCTTTATGGTTTAAATGAAAATTTACCTATTTCTTTTAGAATTCGAGGAACAACAAAAAATTATTGATTTGCATGTCTTAAGTCATAAAAAGAACTAAATTGTGTAAAATATTGTTTCAAATAATCAGGATAGCTGAGAATGGAATTATGGGAATTCCATTTCCTGGTTATTCCATTATTGTTTGTGACAACTTTCATATTTGAGAGTTCGGTCTTGTTTTTAATGTTGACACAAATTGTAACGTGTTTTTCTCTTGTGCATTTCAAGTGCAGAGCTGTCGCACACAGATCAATAAGTCCATACATGGCCTTCTGTTCAGGCAGCGTTTATGATTGATTTCCCTGGTGATGCTATCGACTCATGTACACCTCTGCAGCCGCACCTTTTTCTAATTGTGTGTGAACCAAACCATGCGTAGATCATTGTCGAGTCAAGCCGGACCTTCATAGGTCACTGACAAAGACTTCTATGAAATCATAGCTTTGCAAACGACTGCCATAAAAATCCATCACTGCACAGGGAGCTGCAGGATCTCCTTGAACCAACGGTTAAGTCTCGCATGAGGGATCAGAAAACATGTATCAGCTTGATGTGCCCACAGCACTTTCAATCTCAATGACAGTGATGACAAAAGCGCTCTCACAATACATCAGAACACAAGCCCATGGTGCTTTAACCCTCGACACTACCTACAGTTACAAGTTACCCTGACTAACTGAACCACCGGGGATCGGTCCAACTGAACCAGATTCAAGGAGGGTTTCTTTAAGTGTGTTGCTCTCTCTGCATAAATAATAATATTGTAGTTGAAAAAAGTTAGATTTTATTGTCCTTACGATATTATCAGACGGTTGAGGAAATAGAAAATAAGCCATGTCTTCTATGCAATATGGTCACACAGCTGTGGATCTGGGTTCTTTTGTTGGTAAATCCAAATTTAGCCGTCCAGTTGGCAGCGCGCTGCTAGCCTGCAGCATAATTCTTGCACCAGACAGCCAAAATGCTAAAGAATGTTCAACACAGATTATGCTCGAAGCCTGTTGATTTTTTCACAATGAAATCCACTTTTAAGCCGATAAACGTTGAGGCATCCCTGTAGCTGTAACCCTGCATTACACATGAATCAAGAGAATTCAACGTTTTTACACAGTCAGAACATAAAAGATAGATAAAATACCCATGTTTCCTAAGTTCAAATGAAAATAAAATGTTAGATATTCTTGAACCATCTTCACAATCCCTTACTTCCTCTACTATGATTCTATAAAATCCAACCCTTGTAAAATATGTCTTGTGACAGGTTTTTCACAGCACAGGAGCTAAAACAATGATTACAAACACAGTCCTGGATAGTCAGCATCAGTATCATGGTTGACTGCGCGGCTCACAAGATAAAGGACAAGTCGATGAGGACCTCCAAGCTCAGACTAAGCCACAGACAGGAGATGTGTGCGGCTCATTACTCCCTTCATGGCGTGCCAAATGCTGACCCAGCACAGCCCCCCCCCCCCCCCCCTCGCCCTTCAATCCCTCCCACAGCAGTTTAGCAAAGGGAGTCACCTGTGCCTGCACCCGCCACTCGGCCATTTGCTCCATGACACCCATAAAACTCAGCACTATGCTAACGTTTCGCAGGCTTTTTCGAATTGACCAATGGCTGTTTAAATTAATGGCTCCACGATTTAGTTTAATTCATGCTCCTGCTGCCAGCCTTACAGCGAGGATTTGACCTCTCTTAGGTTAAATAATGGGCCCAGGCGTATGGGGGATGATCTTGGGGCAAAGAGGAGAGATAAATGCTCTGTGACATTCGGAGCACTTCTGCGTCCCGGGATGTGTGATTTGAGAGTGGTCTATTAGGTCCGACGTTTTGCTTAAATGCAGGAAGAGTTATTACACGGGGCAATGACAGAGCTGAAATTCAACACAAGAGAGGCCAAGGATGACAGCCATTTATCAGCTGGAAGAAGACACGGAAGAATATGTCCCAAGTGTTACCGAGAGAGATTTATGCGCAACTGTTGCATCATATAAACCATGCAAACAGTAAATAATATCATAATCAGAAGAGGATTAGTAGAACAGACAAATACCAATGTGATGGACTCTTTCTGCTAGCATGCTTCCATAAAAGAACCATACATAACAGTGCAAAAGTGTTGAATGTGTGCTATTTTGGATGATGAAGCCATTTGAAACTGCATAGATTGCAGAGACAGAGCAGGACAGTTATGCAGGGAAAATTAGTAGACTATCAGCTGCTGACAGTCACTTGAATTAGTACATAAATTGTACTTTGATCTTGGGGAAACACACTTTTTATTGCCACGGTGTTGGTATAAGTAGACACTACCAATAAGGCTCCATCAGTCTTTGCAATCACAAGATCGACCAAGATCTTCTTCTTCAGAAGTTTTGCCTCAGCAAACTGGACGAGCGTCAATGAACTTGGAACTTTCCTTCCATCTTCCGTTTCTCAACATTGGGTGATACCTTTGAAGGAGGAAGTCAGGTTATTGCAGAATTCTTGCTGATTAGAAGAAATATAAACAATACAAAATTGATCTTCTTTGGAAAGCTTGGTCTTCCGATACCATCTGCCTCAGGGATTTTATTGTGTCACGGCACAAAACTTCTATCGCTAGCAGGTGTGGTGATCATAGTCAGAGCCCAAGTATAAGACCTAACCACAGGCTCAGAAGAACCCAGGAACACCGGCGATGAGAACCACTTTTCCGGAAATAATTTGCATTCAATAACAGGTTTCTTGTACTTTCAGCAAGAATTGGAATGCTTTGGGATTCCCCCAGATGAGCTGGAGGAGGTGGGTGTGGCAATCTGGGCATCTCTGATTTACTTTCTCCCACCGCAGTGACTCGGCAGCAGAAAACAAGTAAAAAGATGGATTCATAAAATCAGTGACACACAGGTACATTGAAGATACTTATATTTACTCATAGGTACACTGTGTAGTCTTTACAGATCATATATTGTAATCTACAGTACTACGGTAGCTTCACAGGACAATATATGGTCTTTGACAGTGGTCCCCAACTCCCGGGCAAACTGTTTTTGTCCCTTATTAACCACTGTATTTCAAGATGGCGCATTGACACAGAGAGTCCTCCAGCCTCATGGACATTTATAATTCAATTAAAACAATTCAAAAACATGGTGGAGGTAAATGTTCGTAAAAAGGTCACATTTGTTATGGGTTAACATGCTTTTTCAATTGAGTACCTTAATACTGTGGCAATAGAGAAGCCTTTCGTCGCCACTGCGTCATCTCCATAATTGTCATATGCAGTGTATGGTGTGTGTGTTTAAAGTGTGTTTGACAGGCCATTAAGGGAGTGACCCCTAGACTGCTGAATCCCCAGGCCCTGGTCCCATGTCCAGCTCCGCGGCCAGCACAGATGTGTTGTGGGGTCAGAGCTGTCTCCCTCCATCTCTTACATATGAGCGCGCCAACATCCGCCGCAGTCGCCATATTCCCCGAGTGACAACACCAGTTAGGCCAGTAATAAATCAAAGCTCGGCTGCCCAATTTGGTTTCCTAATGTAATTAATAAGTGCTAAAAGCATTTAACCAGCCCTAATTTGTGGATGCCACTTTGAAAGACCCTTTTCAAGAAAACTTTGTGTTGCATTTTGTGTTGACTATTTGGGGAAAGGGTTCTATGATGTAGCTACAGTGTATACAGAACAGACTCATTTTTAATATCAATAAAAATCAAAAGGAGTGATTTGATATAAGTGTGTTGTTAAGATTAAGAGATCCTTCGTTTGTCCAACAGTGGGGAAATTTCAGTGTTGCCTCCCCGGTGACAGAACAGTAGGAATGAGGAGCACACAACACAAAATGAACAACTCTATACTCAATTAAAATCTAACTATTACTATATTTTTTTGGCTTTGCACTGTTTCGAAATAAGCTGTAAGCAGAAAACAATTATCCACAGTCTAAACAATTGTCACAGTTTGAGGTTTTTTTTAGACAGAAGTGGCGGTTCATGACAGAAGTTCCTCACATCAGTGTGGAGAAACACTTTGGGTAATTTTCTCAACGTTGTACATGATTAAATATGTACGGTAATATAATCCTAATATTTATACATTCATATTTATGTTCATACATGTTTCCTTTGGCAATATTATTATATAAAGTACATAGAAACAAGCCAAATAACAAATAATGCAACTAGCGAAAGGCAAGTTTAATAATCACAGTACATTAAACATAAAGATATAAAACCTCTCAATAAAACTACATGAGTTGAGCGTTCCTCTTCAACCTTTGCTGATAATCATTGTTGATTATATAAATATATATAAATAGTGTGAAATTGCCATGTTACATCAATATGATAATCAGATATTTCAACATGTCACCACTTTATGGATTTTCATATCAAATTCCTATGATTAATTTTGTGAAAACCAGATTAGATTCCATGATAAAGAGAAGAACACTTTGACCTTGAACAACCGCCCCATCACGCACTACGTCTTTAAAAAAATTAAAAAAAACTTTCATTAATTTGCCTCATCATTTGACTATTTCCACTGATGACCAAACGGATTATTGGCAGACGCCTGGATTCCACTCCTGTCTGTCAAGCAGCTTGGGTCTTGCGGGAAAAAAAGGGTCTATCAATTAAATCGGTCCCAGTCACTACAGCAGACTTCCTTAATCCCCGTCTTGACTTTCAGCTCACAGTTCCACAGTGAGCAGTGAGTGGAGAGGGAGAGGAGCTTGTCATGACCGGATTTGCGGCAGCAGCAGGAGGCGGCCCGACTGAAGCCTGACACATAATCAGCCTTCTTATCTCTGCGCGGGGGAAAAAAACGGGATTGCATCCGCGGGCTTGTGATCCACTCGGATTTGGCTAATGTCTCGTCTCCGTGGAAGTCGGACAGCTCGCGTTATCGCGGTGCGGCCGGAGGTTTTTCTTCACTCCTCTCCCAACACCTAAGGTCTGGGGCGAACGCACAGTCAGCTGATGTGTAACCGCGCCGTGGAATCCAAATGCAGCTACTTGTGCCAGTCCTAAGCCGGTATAAATTGACACGCTGCAAAAATGTTATATCTAGTTATGCTTAAATTGACTTGTATTATGATTAATATTCTGGATCTATGCATTTTTGTCCAGGGAATATTTCTTTGCTTATGTAGCCTATAGCATTCACTGGTTTGCAGTCGTTTTGGACTAGTTACCAGAAACTTCAGCTTGAATTAAAGCTGGGATACCTAACTTTGAAACCAAAATATATATATAAAATCCATGTAACTACAATAGCTCCTATTTCTCTCTATCGTTATGGTTCTCATGCTTGAATGTTTGGCCTATTTGTGACAAAAGGGATCCAGCCCTCTCTCAGCCAATCAGATATCAGAATATTAACAATTAAAGCGCTTTCTGATAAGATAAAGACGTCTGTTGTTCAAACAAGAAATTTTTGTTCAAAAGATTTTGCTCCAGCTTTAGTCCTTTAGGAGTATTTTTCAGAAATAAAGTGAAGCAGACTAAAGGTGGAGCCCTGAAACATAGAGATAGAAGTCTAAAATCAATTACAGAAATAAATACAAGAAAAATCATGTAAGAACAACATAAGAACAAACAGGGTTAACTCATCAACAGGGTTGACTTTTTGAAAAGTAAGTAAGTAAGTAAGTAAGCTTTATTTATATACCGCCTTTCACAGACCAGAGTCACAAAAAGGCATGTCATTCCTTGAAAATAAGATAAGATAAGCTTTATTTATCTCACAGAGGAGAAATGTACATGTCATATTTGGCATGGATAGAACACTCAGATTGTGCAAAAGGAGGAAATGTGCAAACATGTTACATGCAGGATATATATGTACAATAAAAGTGACAATAATTATGTGCAACAAAAGTAACAAGTGTCAATTGGAAACAGTGTCAATAGTAGTGCAGGTTTTCACACAGTGATCATTTAAAGTGACTTATTGTACAGTCTGACATTAAATTAAAAATGCACGCACTGATTGAAAGAAAGAGTAAATAATCTACTTTTATCCATTAAATACAAGAAATGTGTAATTTTTGCTTAAATAAATCTGCAAGCTATTTTTATCATGGTCATGAAAAAAGTACAATTCAACAGAATCATACTGGGGATTTTCCATTTACAGAAAGTTTTGCACTTCTGTGAGTTTCAACAAAACAATTATCTGTGAAAACTTTGTAAGTTTCAACAATAAAACATCAGAGACTTGCCACACACACAAATGGTTGCTAAGCATCAGTAGACTGATTTAGCTTATGTCTCATTTTCCCAGCAGCAAAAGTGGAAAAACACTGTTCCATGTATATAAACACAGCTATAAATAAACAGAAATAGCCTTTTTCTTTCTGTCAAAATAAGACAATAATATCCGTGTTGAAAGTGCTCCTCCGTGTCGACATTACAACATCACAAAAGCAGCAGCGGCCTCAGAAGTGTCAGTGCAGTTGAGATGCACCAAAGTGGAGTGTGTGGCGCGTCCTTGTTTGCGTTCTGTAAGTCGACGTGTCAGCCGTGTTTACTCTTTTCCTGCGGTTTGAAAATCTCAGGCAGGAGTGAATCACTGCTCGGGAGTGCTCGGGTTCACTGTGGTTTGGACAGAAATGGATCTCTGCCGTGACGCCGAGCTGCGGCCCCTTCTCACGACACTCACCTCTGCAGCCGAACGCCAACAGAAAATCCATTTGGTTTCTCGGGGCTGCAGCCAGGGTCAAAAATGGACACTTCAAAACACTTGGAAGACATGAGAAAGCGGAAGAGCAACTTTTACACATCGTTTTCTATCAATCATGGAGTGAAGGAGGGTTTGTGACTTTGATAGACATTGCCATCAAAATCTGCTGGTCAAAAACTGAGAATTTCTTCAATGAAGTTGCAAAGTTCAGTTTCACTTCACCCCAGGTTCCACAATTATGAAGTGCATGGATTTTTGAGATAGCAGATACAAGCGGTTGAAATGTGTGTCTCTCTCATTCCAACTCTCTTAGTGAGGGGTGAGGAGTTCAGTCACACTGGAGGAGCTCGGAGTAGAGCTTCTGCTTCTCCACGTGAAGAGGATCCAGTTGAGGTGGCTCTGGCAGTTGTTTCAGGCACGTCCTGCACGAGACCCAGAGGAAGACCCTGGACATGATGGAGAGACTATATTTCTCAGCTGGCCTGGGAACACCTCGGGATTACTACTCAAACTTCTGCCTCTGCAACGCATTAAGCAATAGAAAATTGATGGATTTTGGGGAAAGAAATGTATATTAAAGATTGAAAACTTGTCTTGAGATGATCACCTCTCTACAATATCTACATTTTATACTGTATGTTACTCAAACAACGACGTTTAGGCTTTATAACAGGTCTTATTTGCCCTTGTGTGTCTTTTCGGCGGATTTCGAATGGGGACTTACTATCGGAACCCGAGCAGACCATGCCTCGATGATCCAAGCCGGTGCACGGTAGCATCATGGACGTCGCAAACATTAGTGACGCATTATGGCCACCTCTGATTCTACAATTGTGAGATTTCTGACCAATGAGCTCTGATCATTCACAAACACCACTTGGAAACTGGTGGATTTGAAAACCTCTATACACATGTTTATAGAGGCATCCTTCAAGTTTTCTCATCATTTAAATCTTTTTATTGGTTTTTCTTCCTTCTGCACAAACAGATTTGTTTGTTAGCCTCCTAGGTCCTGACCTCTAATCCATTATCTAAACCAATTATTTCTGAAAAAGTGAAAAGAAAAACAGCCCCCTCCTGCCCCTCCCCACCCCTGCCGGGAGAGAAAAAAAAAATAAAAAAATAAAAAAATAGATAATAATAACAATAATAGTAATAATACATCTGATAGTTGTAGTTGTAGTACTAATAATGACAAAGAAAAAACAATGACAAAAAGAAAATAACCTAATCAAAGTAATTACTAAAGTAATTTGCACAGAAAGGAGAGTTAACATGAAATACATATATACATTACATAACCATATACATACATCCTTCAAGTTTTCTAATGCTGTATTTAGTTAGCTAATAGTGGTAAATTGTTGATTCTTCACTCAAAATGATCATTTCTAAACAATGATGTGTACTCAGGTAACAGGGTCTAGTTACTTCCTACTATTGAAGCGTTTAAATACAAGGTACCAAAGCGTCTGCCACTTCAAATGACGCTAAACAAAACGAACCGATGCCGACATAATAAAATAAGCTCATTACACAGGAAATATTACATTTACATATAAATTGAGTTAAGTCACAAATCACTCTGCTGGTGCTGGAGATTACCCGGTCTTATCAGTAAGGAGCGTTTTTCTTTTACTGTTGACATTGCATTATGAAAGGGAACAAAAAGTGCTATTCTTGACTGAATTCAGCGAGCAGTCTCCGGGGGATTTGACTGTGCCGCTCCATGTTTTAGGAGTTTTAAGGTCACGCACACATTATTTTTCTATTGACTCCAGAGACGTTGGTACGGCACAGAGGAACAATGCTATTACCTGCACATCTTAAAGACTTATGCGAGGTATTGGGCCTTTACAGTTTCTCTGATGAAAATGGGCTTGGCGTTTCAAATTAAAAAGGCCTGATTGGTTATAGAATTATATTTATCAGGCAAGACCATACAATAAAACAGCTTTATCATTAATCCTTGACAGCCATCTTACCTTTAATCATGTGTGAGCCACGGCTGGGTATTGCTAAAGCCACTGTACATAATTGTATAGTCATTGGGGGGATATTATTCTTCAAGGGCCACCACCAATCCTTCATGGACTTGTACTAGGCAGCGTGGGATAGACTAGATTCTGTTCTGAACTTTAAAATGAGGTATGACACAGCTATATTGATTCACTCACCAGATACATTTGCGCTTTACAATCATAAATAAATGTTTCTGCAGTTATGTTCAATTCAATTCAATGTATTCTTGTATAGCCATAAATGACAACAGTTGTTATCTCAGCGCACTTAAAGCTGCACTAACTCACTTTGTGAAATTTTCAAATTCTCTGCTCGCCCTCCCCGCACCCACGAAGCTATCGCCCCCCCACTACCCCCCTCCCACTCAGCCTGTGCTTATGCGTTTACGGAGCTCACGTGTCACAATATGGATCGCCTATTTGAACGTGGATGGCGTGACCATAGAATGATAGAACCGGGAAGCGCGGAGGAACGAGACTTTCTTCTGGATGTTTCGCTGAGTAAGCAGTAACCGGTGACCAAGACACGGGAAGTTTCAGGTTAGCCTCCGCCGCTTGTTTACCTCAGCTGTCTGTGCTAACCACAGACCTGTGGCTTTGCTCAAGAAAGTGGGGGCCAGTGGTCCGCTGTGATTGGTCACTATTTGGTCCCAAAACACATTATCTTCCTTGTTGCACGAAAACTCGATCTAAAATAAAATGACACGCCAGCAAAAAACAGCGCTACTTATTCTTCTTCTCTGGATATGGATTGAATTTTTGTAATAAATGCAAAAATAAAGAGAGGTAATGCAGCTTTAACAAAACCATTGAAATCGCCAACGCAGATCAGAGAATCAAACACACAGAATGGAGGACACAGGTATTGGTCTATAGGGGGGAAGTGTTGATAAATGTTCATAAATGTTGATAAATGTCCATAAATGTTGTAGAATGTTGAGTGTCCTGGATCATCACCACTGTCCTTTATGTTAGACCTCCTGCATTGGCAAGGAAAATCTCTAAAACCCAGTCAGGAAAAATTAAGAAACCTCAGGGAGAACCACATTGAGAGAGGGATCTGCTCCTATGCAGTCAACCAAAGTCAACGACTGGATACCAGCTGAAGTTGGCTGGATGATACCGTGAACTTGTGTTTATGATCTCAAAGACTACTTCATTTTAGCCAGAAAGAGGGCCCCATTAAATTATATGGAGGGCCACAATTGAGCTGTGGGCCTCAGTTTGGACATGTCTGCCTTAGATGTTTGAGACAGAAGTGACATTAGCATTAGCTGGATCTAAAATCCACTCTCTCTCTTTACAATCAGGGAGCGATGTTGTAACATGGTTAGAAGCCAAAACCAGTCGATTATACATAATATGTCCATAAACCATGTTGCAACACCCAACTTATTTGAGGACAAACTGTTCAGGCGACTTAATGTACAATCATTAATCTTTATATTGGTGCGTTTGTCATCATGGAAAGCAGTGTTCTTTTTGCCTCATTATTCCCCGTGTCCCTGGCTGCAGCATTATCGTTCTCTATATGCCTTTTGCAAACTGACAGAGGAAACAAATATTGCTTAAAAACAGTGTAAGCGGATTAGCGGCTCGGGCTGTATGCATAATTTTATAGCTGACTGTGAGAGAAAGGAGAGGGCACACAACCTCAGCCACCGATGTTTGAGAAAGCCCCATGAATCATCTGGTTTGATGGCAGGAGATGAACCAAATATTTACTCACTGGCTCAAAGTAAATGTCAAGTGTAGGGTCCGATTGTGTAAAGTAGACTTAGAAATAAAACTTACATCTGTGGACAAAAAGAAGTTTTCTGAAAAGGACAGTATGAAAAAGTTTTAGTTTTAAGCTGCATCTATGTTCATTGTGTGTCCATGATAATATAAACATGTACAGATTATTATTGGCCTTTTCATGAGCATTAGTTTAGAGGGGATTTATTCTTACTTAAAATACAATGAACATGATATCCACAGTATGCATGTTTAAGGTTTTTTAAGGTTTTTCAAGGTTCTTTGCCCATGTCGTGTCTTCAAACTCTTAATGTTAGGACTTCCCAAAGCTCCTATAGGGATTTCCAATGGGGACTTGGACTGGAACCTAAGTAGACCAAGCCCCAGTGATCCAACAACATTATGTAAAGACTCTTTCTGTTAGGTAGCCCAGCTTTACCATGTAGACTTCAACCAAAGCAGAATTTTTCAACACCAAGTTTGGTATGGACTTAGCTCAAATACATGCTAAGACATATTGTACTGTACATATACACTCAAATATTCGATTCAATTCAATTCATCTTTGTGTAGCCCTAAATCACAACAACAGGAGGACTTTACAAAGTTGTCGATTCTCCAACACAGATCAGAGAATCCAAGCAATATAACAAAACACAAACCTGTGTCCATGCTGTTGGCTTCAGTAGGCCCCGCTCTGTTCTGTGTAATGTTTTTGCTCTTGGAAGATGGAGCTTGCTCATGGCTGAAAAATGATTGAATTCTGTTGTTTCACGAGTTGGAGGACGGCTTTTCATTTTCATGAATGAGTGTCCTATGAGTGTCATTTGTTATCGCGCCGCAGCGGCCCTTATTGATCATGGCAGTGGTCAGGCCATCTGATAGCAGCGTGTCGCAGGCTTCAGCTCTGCAGGAGAGCTCCATAGATCAGGCCAGCATCAGGCAGCAGGGGCCCTCAGCACACATCACATCACACAAGTAAATGTCATATCACTACGGTGTGGACACATGACATGTAGGTCAGGACGGGGCCGCAACATGAATATTTACCACTAATACTTTTTGTTACAAAGTTCACTTTTTGATAGAACCCAAAAGCTGCGGCGCCTAACTTTGTTTTCATGAATATGTTGTGTTTGCCCCACCAGAAAAGCAAACAAACCAGACCACACCAGGCTGTCTTCATCTTCATAAAAAACATTCCTAAGCATAGTTGTAAGGAAGATCACCATTGGACCTCTGACCTCTGAAGCTAAGCAGTGCAGGGCCAGTTCGGTATTGTAATGGGAGACCTCTGGGAACACTACAGGTTTCACAATGGTTGGTGGCTGCAGCTGTAAAGTGCCAAACTGTCATTGTGTCCTTAGGCAAGACACTTCACCCACATTGCCAAGACGGATTCTGGTGTGTGCATTAACGGTTGGTGGTGGTTAAAGGGGCTGATAGCACATACTGGTTGCCTCGATTTCTGTCAGCGTGCCCCAGGGCAGCTGTAGCTAGCAGTAGTATATCACCACCATCTATGAAGTGAAAGAGCGACATGTGAAGCATCTTTGGGTGTCCAAAAAAGTGCTATATAAACCAATGCATTCTCTTCTCTGCCTTAGGAAAAGTGTCAGAGGCCAATAATACGGGCAACTAGATTTAGAACCAACCCGTTTTAGAGCAAGGAATTAGTTTGATGGATTTTATTCCATAGTTCTATTTTGTCGTTATCAATAGTATTGCAAGAATTGTGTCTGTACACTAAAAAATGGTGTTCAGTCGTGATGCGATCAGAAGACTAAGGGGAAAATGTGGGTAACTTATGATATATCACAGTATGGATTCTAAACACAGTTGACCACAGGCAGGATAGAAAACATTATTACGGTTTAAAGGGGGTATACAAAACTCTGTGAACTTAGAAATAGCAGCTTCAAGAAATATTCAACACGGATCCATGTATTACTTTTAATTATTCAACATTAAACCAAGAGTAAGACAAAGAATAAAAAAGTTCTGGAGTGGATAATTAGATTGTCTGGAATTGTTTGCCGTGACAAAACACAGATGGTTGCAGTATTTCAATTGAGGTTTGGAAGCCCTTGATAATGGAGGTACACTTCCCCCTCCCCTCCCTCGGATCCTTTACTGGTAACAATAACAGTGCGCCACGTAATTTGTGTTGGCTTAAACCTGCCAAAGTAATGACCACACTACTGGGCGGGTGAAATGAGTTCACTGGAAATCAGAAGTGACTGGTCGCTAAGAGATCCGGTCTATGGTTGAGTCTGAACTGCATATGATCCAATGTGTTTGGTCAGCTTTGATGTTGTGGATGTCAATATCAACTTGTGGCGAGAGCTGCCTGTCAGAGGCTGAAGTCGCCAAATATCAGAAGCTAAGCAGTGCGGGGCCTGGTTTGTGCAGCTCTAAGTGGCTCTAAAGAGTAAACTGTTATGTTTTTTATCCTCAGCCACATTTGCCTACAGTACAAATCTGATGTGAAGGGTCGTTGATGGTCAGAGGGGCTGGTGGCCTCTCTGTGGAGGCTGAATAGAAAAATACAGATTTTGTAACTTGTTTGTGCAAAGGACTGTTTTCAATTAAAGCTTACCTTATAGTAGCCTGGTCGTACCACACCATAGTAGAAATTACATTTCGTGCTAAGGTCTGGAGGTGCTCCATTGAGCTCCGTTTACAGCTGAGAGGGGTTACCTCCTTTTGCAGATTGAAACGATTGGATCTGAGTTTACCGTCACGTATGTAATGCGCCCGAGTGAGTCGTTAGCATTTAGCCTAGCCATCTCCTTTGCCGCTAACGGAGCCCGTGGGGAGTAGCGCCACAATTTTTTCTAGCGATTACATTTGCTAAACATTCATATTGCTCCGGGTTCAATTTCTTGATAGAACCAGACCTGATTACTTTACTATCGCATTTTTCGCCATAGCCAAACTATAACCTTCCCGTTCAACGCAAACTCTTGACATCACCCACAACTAAATACAACACTCTCCTTCCACGCTCTCTGATTGGTCGGTCGAAATTTAACCGATTGTATTCGCTAACACAGGGACCAGACCCAGACGTTACATGCAGTGAAATGATGATTGAGCGGAGTGTACGGATGGATAAGGCCAGGCTAACCTTATAGGGCTGTCAATTTTTATGTGTTTAGTCACTTACTCATCAATGGTGAAAGGAAAGGTGAACAATGTTAAGACAGCAAAAATGAAAAGATATAGAGAATGATTTCAGTATTAAGTGAGCCCATTATCAGCATCATAATAAGTAAAAGGCTTGATAGCTTACGTTGCAAGAGTCCGTCGTATATTAGTTTCACATTGTAAGTTAAATTTAAAGGTATACAGGAGGATTTTCTACTTCCAGGGTGGATCATCAAGACTATTGGTCCTCCTAATTATTAATCATTCTGGTGATACGTGCTCGTCAAATGAGACCAGAGAGTTTTGTTCAAAAAGTGGAGAGTGCAGTTCTATCCTAAAATTACACATATATACTTTTAAGTAAATTGTCATTTGAACAATATAGAAAATAGAGTTTTGCCTTTGTGGTAAATAAAACACACTAATATTGATATGGTCACCAACATGTGCCTTGTTTGAGATACAATGAGGCCTGGTCTGCTCCACGCCAGAGCCCGGCGGCAGATGGAGCGTACGTCAGCGACATGAGGCTCAGCGCGGCGCACACTCCAGAGCCTCCTTCCTCCTGATCTATTGACTGTCAGCGCTCAAACGACACCAAATATTTTATTTGATTTCCTCTGCACTCATATGAACTGCCTGTGACACCTGCTCTGGGACACTGTCAAAGTGTGTCCTGCTCCATCTCCGGGTTTGGAAAAGTGGATAAGCATCACCTGAAGTCATTAGGAGATAGATCAAGGTGGCAGCGATCATCTGATGAATGTGGAATTATTAGAGATGAAATTATATTCTTCTAATAGCTAAATCTGCTGCTTTCTCCGTGTGATATATTGTCTGCAAACTCTGCAACATAGTCTGAAACATCAGTGATTCTTGCATCTTTTCCTGTTGAATTTTACAATATAAACATTCGATCTTTTAAAGTTGTTCTTTCTTTCTTGGATGTACGACATAGCCCGAGATATCATATATCACTTGTAACTACAGTATACTGTATATCTGATGCCATACTCATGGATTTTGCAAGAAACCTCGGTTCTACAACCTGAAAAGAGTGCAGAAGAGTCCTCTAAGCTAATATTACCAAGCGGGATTGACTTCTTTTTCTCTTTCAAATGAAATACCACTGTCCCAGTAGAAATACTACTATTATGGTGGTATGATAGAAAAATATCATAGACTGTAAATATTAACGAACGTTGTTACGCCTATTTCCTCCGTTTAAATATATGTGTGATCAACATGTACCTTTTGAAAATAGCAATGAGTATTCCCTCCCACGGGAAAATTGTGAGAAAATGCTTTTTTCCCATGCATTAGCCGGCACGAGTCGCTTTCGGAGTGGAAGCGTGTTAAGTGGATCTAACCTGACACATGGCTGAAAAAACATGTTCATTCTAAAGTCCACAGCAGCTAAACTAGACTGGTCCAAAAATAAATACACCCCTCAGCATTGACACACTTCTTTCGTTGAGCCAAGAGCCGACTTTTTGACCAAGCTGTAAAGCAAGAATTCTTATGCCGCCTTTTTCCTCTTGAAAACTGGACAATTCTATGTCTGGGTACGCCAACACCGGAAGACCCACCCCCACTGGATGCTATACACTTTATCGTCCACTTTACGGTCTGCTCTGGTTTGAAGAAAAAATCCACATTCATTTTTCCCATGAGAGTTTCAGATAATCTATATATTAAATGTTGGAAAGCACAACAGTGGCTAACTATTTGGTAAAATAGTCAAAAATCTGTTCTTATTTATCTTGTTTGATTGCAGCCTACTGCTCTGTAATGTGCGATATTATTTTTCCATTGTTGTTTTCTTACCATTGTGTTTAAGCACCAGTAGAACCTAAACACCAACCCTCGACTAGAGTGTTGAGCAGACTGTACATCAAAAAACAGTAAAACTAAAAAGTCAAAAACATACCTCATCTACCGCACTATTCCATTCTAAACCAAGATTCAACATCCTTTCTATATTGAAGTATGAACAGGGAGATGAAGCAGCGGCAGGTCCCGAGGATGAACTGGGTGTCAGGGACAGCAGCAGCAGGAGGAGGAGGGCCCGTGTGAAGCCGAGATGATTCATTCGTTTGATTCATCGCTTTGCATTGTGGCCACTGTACGCTTTCCTCCGGAGCCTTGAAATGTGGGCTGCACTGAACACCGAGAAATGCCTGTTACCCTCACTATTTGACCTTCTATTAGGCGTCACTTTGTAGGCTACGTGTTCCTCTACGTTATATTTAGTGCCTTTGAAAGTGTTTGCTTCTGCTTCCCACTTCAGAAAATGTCACAGCAGTGGTCGCACAACGGAGACTGTACCGAGGGTTGCTATTGTGAGGATGTAAGGTGCTATGTTTGAGTACCCTTTCTCCCTTGGTTTTGGGCCTTGGGTTTATTTTGGGGTTCTAGTGGTTTTTGTTGTTATATTTTTGGATAATGTTTTGGAGACTTTTTTGTAACTCAATTTTTTATTAATTTTACAGGGTTATTGTTGTTTAATTTCTACGTTTTTGTTATTTTTGGGTTATGCTTGTAGATATATTTTTGGTAAAGTAACCTGATTTTGTATTATTTACAGTGTTTTTGTTGTGTAAAGTCTTTGGTTTTTGTTTATTTTGGGATATACTAGTTGTTGTAGGTATATTTTTGGAAATTGTTTTGGTAACTTTTTTTGCCACCTGTTTTTGTATATTTTACAGTTTGGCACGGCTGTGTAAGAACCTTTTGGCACTCCTGTAGAGTTCTCACCCGGTCCCCATGTCCCAAATGTGGTCTGTTCTTCGGGTGACATCAGAAGAAAGGAACAAATGAGCAAACAAAAGAGATAATAACATGGAAAAATTAAAAAGGGAGAAAACAAGTGGACTAGAGCTCTGGTGTGTACTATCTACTGCACACTGGGGTAGTTTTGCACATTTTTTCTAATGTGGGCTGCAAATGGCAAATAAAATCTTGAATCTTGAATCTAACCAAGTGCTATATCAGCCACTGTGAATTGTCTGACTAACGTGGAAGAAGCAAATTGGAGCGAGTCCGAAAAGGCTCCATTTTTTAAGAATCCTGAGCCAAAGAACATGGGTAGCAACACCCTAGCAACCAATCAGGAGTAGCGCTGGTCCCTTCCCGCCAAGCCCCGGCGATCCAAGATTGCGCCCTATTCAAATGAATGGATTGTGCTCAGTAGTTTATGGGACTTCACGGAGACCGAGAGATTAGCAGAACTCGCCTGTATTTGGGCATCATCTGGTCCTCCCGGTTTCTGCGCAGTAGACGATCTCCCATGATGCATTGCGCCAAATACACGTGTGTGGCTCTCATGCACGTGCACAGAGGGGCTCGGCCGCGCTCTGACCAATCAGAGCTGATGATCAGTGCAGCGGTAGAGCGGAGTCAGAGCGGGAAGGAAAGGAGCAGAGTTTGTGGCAGTAAAGTGTGGACTTAAAGAAAACCAAAGGATTTAAGAAGAAAAAAGTTCAGGATGACAAGGGACACTAAAATCCCCACAAAATCCGATATTTCTGGAAAGCTGTAGGTTCTCTGTCAGGTTCTCTGTAGGTTCTCTGTAGGTTCTCTGTCAGGTTCTCTGTAGGTTCTCTGTCAGGTTCCCTGTCAGCTGAGGTCGAGCTGTTTTAATTTACATTGAGTTCTATGGGACTTTTTTTTGGGTAGCCCACGTGAATTGAGTTATTACAGCTATAAGCTAGTTATACCTTATCCAGTTATTATTTTAGATCCATGCTTCCCGCTTACAAGCTATAGCCAAATTCAAGAACAGAGGGTCCTTGATTTGTCTGTTGTTAGGGCTCATAACTGGATTTACAAAGACATTATCAAAATAAAGGATTATACAGAGCTTCAAACCACAGATTTTCAGTGACACAAACCGTGACAGAGCTGAACAATTACAGGCCATCAGGTTTGTGTGGTTTCAGAAACAAGTCAAACAAGCCATCCTTTCGCTGCCAAGATAGTATTTGTTTACACACAATGAAAAAGTCCAGACCTCAGCATTTATAAACCATCACTGTGCTATTGAATTTGAGTCTATGGAGTGTTTGTATCGGTTGTCAAAATAAATAAAAATAGTGAATGGTTCCAATAGATTTAATATTCTAAACCAGGGGTCTCCAATCTGTAGCTCCGGAGCCACCAGTAGCTCGCCACTCCCTTCCAAGTAGTTCGCCGAAGAATTTAGAAATGAATAAATCAAATAATATATTTCATATTTCAGATTGTATTATTCACTTTCATTATATATTATTGTAAATGCACTTACTTTGTGCACTAGTAACAAATATGCCATAAATATCTATAAAATGATATATGATAAATAATGACTATACCCAATATCAGACTCAAATAAATCAAAAAAAATTCCCCGGGGACGCTTAAAGGAGTAGCTCTCTGCCTTTATCGTCCTGGGAAAGTAGCTCTGTGGGTGAAAAAGGTTGGAGACCCCTGTTCGAAACCAATTTCAATACCACTGTGAATGAGTTACAATTTTCAATGCAAGTTTAGTATCTGACATGCGGCCATTTTGACAAGCCAAATCCACGTATAGAGTTTGAAAGTTTAGTATTATGACAAGTCTAAGTGGGATCGTCCTCTGTTGGCGTGTCGTAAACTGGTGCTTCCTGTTGATCGGATGAATTGTTGCAGATTTTTCAGCGATGACAGAGATTGTGGAAACACTGTCCAGGACAAATAACGTAAGCCATGTTTAAGCCGTGTTTGTCCTTGTGCTGATTTGTGGCTTTTGGCAGCGTCCGCACTCATTAAAGCGTGCTGCTCTGGTTACCGGCAGATAACCGCGGACAGAGGGACCGGCGTGATGATGAGGAGCGGCTGTAGAGACGTTATGTGGATGTGAAGTTGGCAAAGGCGATCGTTTGAGTCGCAAGAAACTATTGTCACGATACAGAACATTAGCACTCAGCCTTATGATTTTTAATATTGAAAACAGCAGATAGGGTTTGATAGTATAAGTATGTGTTGTTATTGCACTCATTTTAGACCAAAACCATTGTGAAAATGTTGTTCAAAATTCCATTTACTTTGATAACCGGTTGTTATGTTGAACCTACTGGAAACTGCTCCAAACATGCGTTGTAGTAAGTATTTGACCCTCACGTTGCTGCTAACAAAGCTGACATCATCTGAAAGGAAACACACGGGGGTTCCCTGTGTTCCTCATGTGTGCATAGTTTAAAGTCTATTAGTCATTAAAGGAGACATACCATGAAAAATTATGTTTTTATTCTATCGATTTTTCTTCTCTCCATGTTACAACATTGTTCCTCATCAGTCACAGACCTGGAGTAGATATCAGATCTATCCAGGCTAATATTAGAAACTTCTATACAAACATAAAACTCTCCCCCTTCTGTCTAAAAGCTTCTGTCTCAAACCTAAACTAGTGTGATGTCATAGTAATATTATGACATCACACTCAAAGCAGTTTTCTGCCTTTTAAAAGAAAAGTATTGTACTTATAATCATTTTGATTGAATTAAACAAAACAAATTCCACTCCTCCCTCTAGTGGTAGCATAGAGAGTAAC